GAAAACCAAAACCACCCAACAATCTCTGCTCTCCTTGGTACCAGAAAACTGTGAAAGTAATTGTACATTCCCCCGCCTTCCAGATTTCCCAGCCAAGTTATGAACCTGGCACTAGTTCATGATACTGGAATTTTGAAGCCTCATCTAGAAAGGCCTGGAAATCTGTTTTTCTGAATTTAAAAAAATACAGCAATCACGAATAGGATGATAACGCTGCGAACGCAGTCCTGAATTTCCCATGAGTAGCTCAGCTACAGAGCGGTCCTCCGAGGGCACTGGCTAGCAAAGCCGCGCTCAAATACTCCTCCTGGGCACAGCGCCCGAGATGGGCCCGACGGGCCTGTGCAGAGCTGCTCAGGGAAGCCCGTCCCCTAACGCTGGCCACGCCTACGGTGGTTTACAGGGTGGTAAGTGCTGTATCACTGGGAAGCAGTATCAGCATCCCCGATTTAAATGCCATTCAGGCTTTGTGCCCTCCCCGCCCCCGGCCCCTGCGATGGGTCCTGGCAAGTTTTGGAGATAGTACTCACGCCCTGGTCCCTCAGAAGTCACTGCTGTTCTGCCATGGCCTGGCAGATGTCATTAGCCCTAGGTGATGCTGCAGATGGACAAGCAGCCATCCACAAAGACAAATCGTAAGGCCGCATCATTTACATCGTAAACATAACCCAGGCTCACCACAAGGCAGTGCAAATACTCAATGTTTTTTCTTTCAAAAGTGCCAACATCCTAACGGAGGTTGCAGAAAGCGCCAAAAGATGAAGTTCGCAAAGAGACCCCCAGCACAGCCCCAGGAAAAATTGCCAGCAGGTTGGCTTGTCGCTTATTTTTACCCAAGGCACTAGAGTGAGAGAGGAGCTTCGGAGCTTTGGGAGGGGGGTGGCAATGTGGCAAGAGTTAACTGCTTGGATGCAATTAGGGTCAGCGAGAGCTGCTCCACCTTTGTCCCCATTTTCAAAAACGTGGGGTTAACGTCAGCTTTCCTGTCAGAACGGTTCGGCACAGCTATTTTAAAAAGCAAATCAGACGGTGTTAACCACAGGGCAAAAAGAAGGGTGAATACTATGCAGTCTGCTTGGCTCAGGGGATTTGTGAACTTACTAGTATTACAGTTTCTTTATTACACATGCTAGTCAGAAAAAGAATGTCTGGAAAGTTATGTTGGGGTCAAGTGCGGCAGAAACACTTCTGCAGCCTGATTAAAAAAGATTCTCCTGAAGTATGCACTTTACAAAGCCATTCCCGCTATTTCCAGTCAAACATTCTGAGGTGCCTTCTCCTCCAGTAATACAAAAGATGAAATTCAGAAATAGGCAAGAGGAGGAGAGAGGGACCCACTCACAGTCAGACAGGAAGCTACTTGGCTGCACAGAAAATGGCCTCACCCTTTCCACTAAACTTTCAGTTTATTTTTTCTTCCTTTCCTTATTTGTTGCAAGAGAGTTCCCTTCCATTACCAGTCACAGCCCTCCTGCAAAGGCAGCTGATTGCCCTTAGGTAGATAACACTGATAAATTGTATCTTATTTTAAATAATGGTTTATCTCAACTGGAAAGGAGTGCCCCGATCAGTCACCACCATAAACCACCTACGTAATATGGAAGAAAAGGTGCCTTCAATTTTCAGGTGTATTCCCTGGTCCTATTGGCAAGGTGATGGGTTACACGGATAAAATGGATGCATTGCTGTATCTTAAAAATGGTCATGGTAGAAAGGTGAAAATGTTTTCTCTAGAGAAAGCGTGTCTTACAGAAATACAGACAAGAGGAGGAATTTCAGCCCTGGGGAAGAATATGCATATAATTCCAAGAATTCACTTGAGGGGTGAATTCCGAGTTTAAAAAAAAAAAATTAAAAAAAAATCTTAAAAAATGAGCACCTCCAAGGTGACTGACCAAAGAAGAAATAAAAAATGGAGTCAAACTTCCTGATTTTGTATGTTCAGCACTTTTATATCCTTTTGGTCTTTTAGGTTCTGCTCCTATTACAGAACATCACCCCTCACTGCTACCCTCAAAATCTCACTGCTGCTCACTTTCCGATTTCTTACTAGTTGTCTTCTTTCTTTAGGCTCTGATCAAAGTTGTTGGTACTTTAGAAACGTTCATTCAGAGGAGGTGATGTGGACTAAGTTTTCTTTTTAAGCTTGGCTGCCAAAAAATACCTACCACATCTGTAACATCAATTTAGTTGGAGAAAGGAGCTCAAAAGATGAATCCACTGAGTCTGTCTTTCCCGCTGCAACCTGATGGAAAGGAGGATTTGCTCCAGGATTCTAAACCAGCTAATGCAGCGTAACACTCGTGAATGCCACGTTCAAAGGAAGAGGGCTCCAGGGGTACAGCCCAAGCACACAGGAGGTAAGAGGGCTCCAGTCTCTTGGGGCAGTTTCAGCTTCTAGCAGAAAACAATCGCTATAAGCGATGGCACAACGCGCAAAACTGCCCCTCACACCTGGGAGAAAGATTGCACAGGTCAGCTGAGTCCTGACACTTAAAAAAAGCTTATATTGCCTCAAATTACGCTTGACTTCATACATAGTTAAATTAAACTATTCCGTAGATCTAAAGCCACTACGTGGTAGCAGAAGATTTGCTAGGAAAGATTACCAAAAAAAATCCAAACAAAACACACCCAGAAAGAAGTCCTGAACCAACAGTAACTGAGCCTGAAGGCAGTTAGGAGAGTAAGTATCAGATTAAAACTGTAACTTGCCACAACTGCTCCTTAAGAAGAACACTTTTTCACTAACGCTGTTCTGGTTATTCCTGTCGTTGCTCATTCTACTGCTTAGATACCATGATCTAGATCAGAGAACGCAGTGGCTTGACTTCCTAGCAAAAGCAGATGCAGACACAAAACCGACTGTAAAATCTCTCTGTCAGAGGGAACAATGAAAGACACCAGCGAATTAGGAAGCCATCCTCACTGTAGCCTAAAGTCATCCACGTGGGGATCAGCAAGAAAATCTGGGTGAGTTCTGTTTAGCTCAGAACAGGGAGGCAATCGGTCAGAAATAAGCGCAGAAAAACCAGAGCTGTTCTGACCAACGTGGGACTTCGAGCCACGTAGCTCGTCCTGACACTGTTCTGGTCATACTGGAGGTAGGGTTTGCCAGCCTACGTAAAGATTTGGGTCACTTTGTATGCATAGTGGGTGTTGGAAATAGTATGTTGATGTGATGCCTCTTTCTTTAGAGAGAACTAGAGGTAAAACTCGCAACTTCTCTTTTGCAGTTTCTGAGAAAGTCTTCACTGCCAAAAAGTCACATTGAGTGAACATACCATAATACCTCAATACCACAGTAACAGGTTTTTTTTTTTCCATTGCTAAGGTATTCTTCTATAAAGGGACTTTCAAAAGCAGGATTAGCTGATGATCACTGGTAGAAAGGTTTTGGTTTATTTCTGGGCAATCTTTCCAATTTTCACTTAGTCATTGCCATCATTTTCTGCAAAAGCTAAAAAAAGCCTATGAATTATCTTAATTTTATAAATAAGCCTTTCTTCTTGGAGCTATTGAATCCCTCATCACAACAGTTAGGCCAGGTACATGGCTGTTCTTAGGCACCTCAAGTGGCATTCCCAGGCACTGAAGCACCCCAACCTTCAGGCCACACTAGAAAATAACCCCCCTGCGGAGACTGCGTATCTTTCCTGGAACAGTACCTCAGCGAGCACAGCATTTCATACAGCATCTCGTATTTTAAAATAATAAAGAATACATTAAGGATTCCAGAGGCAAATCTAGACACATTTTCGCAGAAATGTTTAAAACCAGCCAATTATTCTGAGGAGCCGTTATCAAAAGGTAAGTCTGTCTGTATTTTAGCGGAGCTGTATAGAAGCTCTACTTTGAGGACAAACAATGCAGGCTAGAATATACGATTGCTGCAAGTCACTTCTTGATAAAAAACGAAGGAGCTTTGTTTCACGATAGGACTAAAGCAGAACAGCACTGGGAAAACTGCCTCAGGAAGTCCACACACAATATAAATCATAGTCAGATTTTCCATACCTTTCTAGACACAGGAACTCCTAAAATATCAAACCAATGTGACCAGAGGTTGAATACTCAGCTGATAAGACTCTGCAGACATATTTCTCAAAACAGATCTGTAAACTACATATATATCTGTACCTATCCCTCTCTCTATAGAAATACTTTGTAAGAAAATCTGAAGAACAGTATGTTGTCTTAACGAGATTTCCTAGACAAATCCAAAATGAAAGCTAAACTAATTCCCACTAAAAGCTACACAAAACTCACCAGAATTTCCAATAAGAGAAAGAGATCAGTAATAACAGAGACGCCTCTTCAGCTCTCAGAGCTTGCTGCTCAACTCTTAGCCGTGCAGACAGTTTATGTGCACATGGACGTCTCTGGAAAGATTTCTACTTTGTGATTTCTACAGGCTGGTAAATAACATGAACGAACTCTCTGGGTCAATGCCATTATCATGTAACAATATGCATAAAACTTTTCTTGGTGATGCTCAGATGTTGCTTATTACAGTGGGATTATATTTTTGATGGAGATTTGCAGTATATAACACAGTATAAGCACTGTAATAATAACGGTATTAACTTTTTTCCACCCAGCTTTTTCTTTTTCATACATTGCAACCCTCTAACAAAGTACTTGAGAAATTATTTCATGCTTAACATCTGTGTTGTACACCAGTAGGCAGCATTTTTTCTTTCATTTTTAAAGAAGGGCTATCTCTTCCTGCTCTTTGATTAACTGGCCTGCTGCAGGGTCAACGGCACAAACAGGTGGCTTTGCACAGGCTTCAATGAACTACGGACCGGGATTTGAGACGGAAATCTAAGATCTCTGCACAAAAGCGCTACCCTCAAAAATATCTTTTGTCTGTTGTCAATGTGAAGGATGTCAAATTGGTTGTCATTAATAGCAGCCATTAATACAATAATTACTGTAACCTCCCCTGAGTTTCAAATGCACTGATCACTGACAAAGGGAAAAGCTCAAACCTTCATTCACAGAATAAGGCTTGGGTCCCAGGAAACATGTCTCCCATCATGCATTCCATTCAGAATTTCAACATCATCTTCTGCTATTGTAAAATCAAACACCTACGGGAATGCATACACAGTTAACATCATGAACACAGAAAGAAATCAGGAGTGTTTCTGTTATTCAAACTGACCAAGATTTATTTGAATATGAGGCAGATTTTTTCTATATTTTTCCTTCTGGGAATTATTCTTACATTTTGTAATAGACAAATATTCCATTAAGCTGACAGGTTCCACTGGGTCCTCTGCTCCTTTTGTGACTCAATTTTGCCTGTAGACTCTGCCAAGATGGTTTTGTAGCACTCTGGCCCGAGGCAAGGGTCCAAGACAACGGTAGTACCAAAGCTAGTTTGGACAGCACTCTGTATCGTCACTGCCACAGGTGGATGAATACCCTGACTGCAAGCCCTCTGCAAACCTGAGCTCAAACCACCCGCCTTCACGCACAGGTTCTTACCGCCACCGACTCCTGCTGTGGTGGGACCTGCGACACGAATGATGGTGTCAGTGATTTCTTAGCAGGTGTCTTATTCAGACGTTATCACTTCAGAACTGGATTTGCTTTAAGTTGGTCTGTTGTCTTTGCCAGAGCTCCTCCATACTCAAGAGAAAGATCCTGTGGAGCCTGAACTGCTGCCAAATGAGCTCCTCCCATCCTGCATTATCCAGCAGTCACTGTCTGCTGGAATGACCCTTGTAGTCAAGCCTCAATGCTCAAGCTTTTTAAAGCTAAACCAGGGACCAGTCACAGAACTAGAAATACTATATATTATATTATATACTGAGGGCTTAACAAGGTCCATGCTTTCACTAACTTGACTAGAGGTGGGAGAGACTCAGGCCAACACACTGGCATGGGGAAAAGAAAAAAAAAAAAAGGGAGCTGTGATAAGCAACATTCGGTAACCACGCCAGTTCTCCCCCCCTCTCCATCCTGAGCATTTTAGGTTTCGCTGCAATGTGTTCCCTCAGTTGTGTGAAATGAATCGTCGGGGCCATAGAGTAAACGCTGTAAAAACCAGAATTAATTTCGGTTTAATATCATTGGGGAAAATAAAATAAAAGTATTAAGGAAAGATTTTTAACCTGGTTTTGTTCTCTGATCTGGTTCACAATACAGTACCACAGAAGGCAGTGTGCATGTCAGAATAAATAGTCGAGGCAGGAGCTATGTAAACAGGCACAGCCACCAGGAGAAACCCTCATTGCATGTATGCTGATCTACACCCACACACGCACGCACACGCAGTGATTTAACTAGCAGACCGAAGTTTCCTATCTGCCTGCAGAGTTTCTTCCTGATTTGCCAAACAGTTCATACCCCTATGATATTTTTGGAAGTAACAATAAGGTTGTTGTGGTTTCCCCTCCCCCAAAGACAGCACATTTTAGATTAGAGAAATGGAGAGAATAATGAAGTAACGAATTAAAAACATTTGGCATGAAAAGGAAACAAAGAAAGGGTGGGGGGCATCATGCTGCCAATCTTCATTTGTTCCCCACTTCTCTTTGTCCACCCCCTTCATGCTGGGACCTTCTCTGCAAGTGGAGTAGAAGGAAGAAGGCAGAGGAAGAGGCAGCTCTGGCAGGACTGTGATTTCCTTCGGTCTCTATCTGGGGTATCCCCAAGAGCGTTCCACAGCTTTCACATGGCGTTATGCACAACGTGCAAACTCCTTCCATTTGACCCATGTGCCTGTCACAAGAATGACCTCACCATTACAGGTCAGAATGTTCTACAACCAACCAAGTAATAAATAAAAAAAATAGTAATAAAAATAAACTCAGAGGTCTTTCTATGGATATCTTTTTTATACACAGCGATTAGCTCTCCAGTTGATTTCTGACATTTGTGAATTACGGTTTCCTACTACATTGTAGTAATTTTATAGTACTATAATTTGCCAGTTTCACCCGAGTTGCCCAAATATAAAACTGGTATAGGAAAATGGGCAGGCAAACCAGAGCATTGAAATCAGTAATTCGGATGTTAGTCAGGCTCGAGTGCGTAACCAAATCTTACCTTGCAGTTTTCCTCTATCCTTTCTGCTTTCGTGGACTTTGGAATAGTGACAATCCCATTCTGAAAAACACAATGCTTCTCATCATTAACATTTATATAGTTTCAAAGAAAATGATCTCTACATTCCTCATGTCTTCTGAGATTTTAATTTCATTTTTTCAGAGGGCACTGACATTTCTATTTGCTATTTTTAATTGCAGTTACATACACTGCATTAAACTCCAACACAGATGATGTGGTTTATATCAGCTTAATACACTATTTCACTGCCTATTACTTCGTGTTAAGTGACAGAAATGGAATGAGGCCCCATACTGCTTGTACCATTTAGTTTGAAAATATCTCTTTTTATTAGTGGTTCTTTTTATTGTCTAAAATCAGATTATCTGCATATTTTAAATATTGCCATGCTTTGTGTACAACATTTCAAGTTTCCAGTACAGCACAGTTAGTCCATGTGACATGAACATATTGAAAGGAAAAATATTTTCTCCGTTAATTCTGGTTTGATGCACAAAACCCAAACTATTTGCATTTTTTTCCCCGAGTCAGGAGACTCATTTTTATTACCCCTCTCCATTACCTGTATACTCCAGCGTATGCAAATCTGTGCTGGAGTTCTGCCATATTTCTTTGCCAGCTGAATGACACTAGGATGAGTGAGTGCTTCACCTTTGGCTAAAGGACAATAGCCTTCAAAAACAATACCTCTGCTCCTGCAATAATCGACCAGCTCCTGAGGTCTTTGGAAAGGGTGGTATTCGACCTTAGGTAAACAGAAATAAACTTTTATGAAAAATCATGAGAGTGCATTTTGTAGAAAACATCAGTGATAAATGAAAAAAAAATATATATCTTTTCCTTCTTGTTTTCAAAATTCAACATGAGTGAAATGACTGCTTCTGGGAGACATGCAAGTTACCAGTTTTAGAAGACATGAAGGTTGTTAATCCACAAGTATCTTGCCATTAATTGAGACGATAGTTTACTACATACGTTATGCTTCCCCCAGAAGTAAGGTGGTGGAGCAGTTGTCTGCCCTACCTGCAGCTGGGCTCGCACTCCTGTTCTGTGTTTGACAAATACATGCAAACGCATACTGGAAGTCAGCATCAGGTCATTTTTATTGGTGATTTGAGACTACCTTCCCTTCCCCAGATCTGCCTCCTTTCCTGTTTCTTTACTAATGATCTTTGGGTTGCAGGGGCACGGGGAGGGGGCTGGGCAGGGACTGGGTTTTCAAGAGACCAACCAGAACAATTTGCTTGGGGTGAGGGCCTGCCCTCGGAAGCAGAGCCTGTTGGCATGGATTGTATGTGGAAAACCCCGTACTCCCAACAGTTTATGCAGGGGAGCAATTGTGCCGTGGAACGAAGTGTGAAGGAGACCCTTTGTAGGAAGGAAGATCACAAATTGCCAAGAACCAGTTAAAAGAGGAAAAGCTATAAAGACGTAGTTGGAAGCAAAAGGAAACAGAAGTTATTGGAAAGTACGGACTCAGAAGAGCCATGTATTCTGGCATGTAGCAAAAGCCAAGAGAACCTCTGTAATTTTCCTTAATATGTTATTTAAATAAGTATTTCAAGTTTGTACACTGTAAGCAGCATACCTTCCTCTGCATTCAGATGCAAATGGGCAGAGTTTTCTTTTATAAAATACACAATCATGTGATGTATTTTTGTGACGGGCTGTCAGCGCTGTTCCCGTGATCTAACTCTTGCGCATTTTGAAGAAAAACACTCTTCTGAACAATTACCTCAACACATGGAATCTGGAAAATTTCTTCTGCCACGAAGAGGACAAATGAACATTTCCTGTTTCTCATCTTTAGTACATGTTGTCTTTTCGGACAACAATAGTCGGGAACAATAGGCTGGCAGTCATTCAAAATGCGCTAAGAAAAAACTGTGCCCCTCGAAGGCTGGGCTGAGTCAGCCTAAAGCTGCTGTGATCTAAATTACTAGGTGGACTCGGAACATGGTTCAAGCAGCAGACACATCCATGTCTTCAACCTTTGATGTTTCTTGACCTTTGAGCAGCCTTTGTATTTCATGTTTATGTGTGGAAGACCAGTGTTTAGGTCAGACAGTCATTCACTTGTTTGCACCTGAGCTGACGAGAAAATATTCTCCTTGCTTTTACGCAGAACTTCGAGGAGGAAAAAAGAAAGAGCAGGCAGGGTGTATTACTCGATTATTACAATAGTAACAAGCAATTTTAGTAGATTTTCATTACACTAAGTGTAACAAATAACATAGCCTAGAAAATATGAAGTAAACAATGAAGTATTTTGGATCAAATGCTGAAAAAACCTGCAGTATCCCTACGGCATCAGGTGACTCATTCAGCACTTACCACTCATACAACTGCAAGCAGAATTTACCTGCTGGTCTAATAAGATTTCTAGGCAGCACAGTTCCAGGTTACACCAGAAATATTTAAAGCAAAACCAGCATGCTCAGATGTCACCTGCCTGCTTCTTCACAAGCGGAACACACAGCAACAGCTGCTTCCCACCTGGGAAGATTATACACTTTGTGCCTTTCACTGAGATCAAGACGCTCCCAAATTTTGTGAACTGAATTTCAGCACATGCAGTTGTGTGTTGGTAGCAGTAAGTATTTTTCTGCTTAAATGTATTGCTAAAATAATCAAATGCATAAAATCAGCCCTTTTGACTTTATTTTTCTTGTGAAAACTTTCTGGAAGGTTCTAGCAGCACCTGAATGCAAGGGACTAGCATCCTGGGCTAGAAGAGGCACAGGGTGAGTGGCCAGCATGTGCTTCCCCTCAAAATAACAATTCCTACTTCCTGGCTTACCCCACCCTTGCTATTTTAGTCACCAAACTTTTCTCAGGCGAGGGCTGTCCATCAAACAGTGGCAGAGGAAGATCTTGATCTTTTCTGGCACTCTACCCCGAGTGATTTGTGCATAAAACCTGCCATTCCTTTAACAAAACAGTTTGCAGTTCACACCACAGAACTCTTCACAGCTGCTGCTTGGTCAGCCACAGGGCAGCTCTAAGTAAGTGCTGGTTTTTACGACAGTCATAGCGTAAGGGGGAAAAGTTGAGCCTAACAACAGTCATGACACACGGACCTAGAAAGTCCTACCTCAGGTGATGGTATGTATGCAAAAGCCTGACACTCTCCAGTCTGCTGTGGGTTCTTTTCACCCGGTAAAGTTCTCCTGCATCTGGACTCCAGTCAGTTTCTTAATGGGAATGGAGAGTCTCACAATTATTTCTCTTTATAAAACTGAAATTTAAGTCTAGAAATGTTTTCTCTACAGAGGAGCAGTTCAGGTGAGTTTATAAACAAAGGGGTTGTTTCCTAACACCTCAAAATACTAAAATACATTTCCACCTTGTACAAAATTACGTAATAGAGCTCACTACTAATGGCAATATTAACAACATTACTAAATCTCTCTGAGGTCATTACACAGTAATTTGCACTTCTATAAAGTAGAAAAAATACTGAAGAGCATTCCTAGACGGAATTCTGAGAGGAACAGTTTATATTTGGTTTCAGTGTATCGCTTTATTAAGTGAAACATATATATTAATTAAATTCTTATAAAATGTAATTTTTTTTCCCCTAGTGAGTGACAGGCATAAGAGCCTTCAAAAAAATTTCAAAGGCTTCCTTGAGCCTAAATCCAAACGTACTACTGCCAAGTCAATTACAAACTCTGGAATACAAACCTGTAACAACTTCATGATGCAGGAATAAAATATTTATCACCATTTTACATGGTGTTTGACTGTATTTTTAACAGTAGATTGTCATTTTAAAAGGTGCTTGCTTACTACTACTAAATACCTTCACAATACTGCATTCTTGGAAATGCAGGCTCTTCCTACTTCTTTAAAAGCCACGATGATACTGTTTTTTCCAGGAACCAAGAGAGGCAGTATGTACAACTTGGTTTGTAGAACTGAAGCATTGCTTACTCCCTAGTTTGCAAAGACTGTAAAAGCCTAATAAGGAATCTCCTTTTCCCTGCCTTCCCACTTCCACCTCTTCACAGAAAAAAAAACAACCCAAAACTTTCAATTTTAATATCACAAGAACTGTTGGAATTGTACGAACACCCTAAATTCTTTACGCAAATTTAACACAGCTAAGAGAGAAATGATTTTTCTCCACTTGTTTAATATTTAGAGTTTGTATACAATGATTGTTTGCCAATGTTTTGTACTTAGGAACAAGGTCATTGAAGGAATACGCTATTTTAGGCATAAATATAGCAAAGATCTTTTGTATTATAAATTCTGGACAGCGAAATAAGAATTCAGTATAACACTTCCATACCAAATTCAAATTTAGCAATTCATTAGTTATCTGATAATGCTTACGTAATGTCACCATCAGACTCAGCAACTCTGCAATGTTAAGCAAGAAACAGAATAAATACCCTTTTGAGGACAACCTGAACTATGGTTTATAAGATTCCTTAACTCTAAAAAGTCTAAATTAACGCTACAACAAAACTGTTTGAAGTGGAGCAGTTTGCAGTGGCATGGATATTTCATTGTATTTTTATTTTTAATTTGGAACAATGCTCTGCACCACCTTAAAGAAACAACTGACTACAGCAGGGGCACCCTCCCACTTCCCAGTATCACCACCATCTCAACTATTTGTCTCCTCTCTTGGCAGCCACAGAAGAAGAGATGCCGTCAAATAGTATCAAGAAACAACTTTTCTCCATTAGCACTACTGACACAGTAAGACTGGTAACGTTTTGACGTTGTGGGTAAGTGCAAATTTCAAAACAAATCCAAGATTACATTTTTTTTTCCTTGCAGTGATTTAGTAGGACACCGAAAGGCTATTCTCATTTAACAGACAGTAACAACTTACGCCAAACTCCAGTAAGCCTTTGAAGATGGCTATTTCTGAAAAGGAGGCACAATTGAACCTTGACAAACTCACCAATTCTTAAACAGCCATCAACAGACATGTTTCAATGGCTTATTTTTAATATTTAAATTTAAATATTTCATATGGTTTTACATTAATTTAACATTACTCATAATTGTCCTTTAGTAACCTTTAGTCTAGTGGACAGCAAAAGTCAGAGATGTCAGGGTCTGACAGTCACATTCTGAGCAACCTTTTTTGTGGCTGTTGATGACATGAAACCACAAACAGCTGCCAGAAATCCTCAGCACCTGTACAAGGGGAAAAGCACACACCTGCACATCACCCATTCCAGTTCCCAGTTCTATGTCAGCATAAGCACACTTTCACTGGCAGGCGGTGGTAGGAACGGGAGCATGAACTCCCGAGCACAGCTGTGGGCAGAAAACTGCAACAAGGGACTAGTTGTCAGTGCCCTGGAAGCCTGCCGGTATGTAGGTGGCCAGTTTTTATCTGCCTAGGGCAGCAAAAAAATTTTGCCAGGGCTCTCACAGCACCTTCCTAAATGGTGAATTTAATGTGATCCTGAAACGTGAATAGGAAATAAGGGGGGGAGCAAGGGAAACAGCACTCTTGCACAGATATGTAATCACCTGAGGCTTGCGGTGTTGCTTAGAGGAATTATATATGGTATTTGAACACAGGCTCTCCAAAACCTTGTTGACTCTGGAGATGCTGAGGGTTCAGCCTCCTTGAATTTTATTTCTGAAGTTTTATCATCAAAAATGGGCACATGGACCATTTGTTTGTGCCTTAAAACCAGCCACAAACAAGTAGCCTGGGAGAAACTGGGAATAAGAAAGGAAGAAGACTTCCCCCCTCCTCCCTGCATCAGGTCGTCTTCCTGAACGGTTTTCAATACGTATACAGAAATGAAAGAGAAGAAATCGTATGACTAAAGCTAGTTTGGGTGTAGTCTTTCAGGCGTAGGTGTGAGGAGGAGATTGTTAACCAAAAAAAACCCCAAAGTAAAACCCCAAACCCAGATACTTTAAATATATTTATCCACTCACTTGATTAACATGTGGAGTAATCACACAGTCTTCCTTCAGTTGCTCAAGATGACTGATAAGAAAGTTGCTTACACCAATTGATCTACACAGACCTAATGAGAAACAGAACAAAAAAAAAAAAGGTTTGGGACAATCCTAGGTATTTGGGAGGAAGATCTGAGAAATATCACTTTCAGGAGACCACATGATTGTATGCATCATTTCTGTATAGCAAAATACTGCAAAGAAACACCAAAAACCAGCACTGAAATCTAGTCTGACAGCATTATCTGAAAGCATGGTTCGTCACAGTCACACTAGGAAATCATTTTATAATCTAAACACACTGGAAACTCCCCAGTGTATAAAAACTCCAGGCTAAATTCTGGGAAAGGCTAATGCCGTATAAGCAAAGAACAATTGGACTCCACCAGAATGAAAAGAAGGAAATGGTGTTCCGAGCAGCTTGCCAAAACTAAAGAAAAGTGGAACATTTGCTGAAGACTAATAAGGTGTGAGCAATACAACACAAGGACACGCAGCCCAAATGAACTATGTGGCCCTGCTTGTATTTCTGTTAGATCATTATGAGACGTCACGCAAAACTCCGTATAAAAACTTCAGTTACGCGAGCAGTACCTAACAAGAATGGAGACGCTAAAAAACCGTAGCTGGACTTCTCAGCTCCTGCTGACATGGAAATAAAGTTAAATGGCACACAGGCGACACGAAGGTTATTTTTGTAAATAAGCCTTAAGCAGGCACGCACACGTGTAAGTTACGTGCTGACAGTCCTGAACTCAGACCTCTTCCTTCCAACCTCAGATGCGATAAAGCACAACTCCCAACACTGGCCTGCCACCACACCTCAACCCTGACTCATCTTTGATCCTTTGGTCCTTATTCTGGGCTAAACGCAGTCAATAGGGAAACCAGCTGTCATCAGGCTAGCAGGGGCCTGAGGTGGGCTGTGGATTCTGTGGACTGTGAATCAGTCCCGTTTCTCCGGTATGCGAGCTCTGTCTGATCGACTTGATCTGCATTTCAATCTCGAACTCTGCAGATGGAAAGTCGGTCTCAAGATGTGCAAACACAGAAGTCCAGTCGCTGTTGGTAATCCAGTATTTGGGGCAATTCTATACAACATATATGCATATGCTTATCTATATACATGCACACAAACAGCTATAGCAAAACAGAAAGGAATTAAGCTAAAAGTTATACTGTTATTTTTTCAGAAAAAAAAAGTAAGGCATTGGGCAATTTCAGCCATTTGATGTCAAAGGAATGACTTCTGGACTGAAATTGCCCTCATTCCACAGTTAGATCTTTCTTGAGGTCAGCAGGGAACTATGTGGAGCTGCCTTGATTTGAAGTTGGAATACAGAAACATAAAAAACACTTATTAATGCAGCTGAGACATGAATACATTAAAAGGAAGAATTTCCCTTGTAGCAAAACCTAAAAAAAATGTTGGAAAAAAATGTACTAAGTACTTATTGCTAAAATGCATATGTTTTATGTATATTAAAAAAATAACTCACAAGTAGCCTATAAATTGGCTTATGAAAATATGTGCTATAAGTTTACAAAGTATCTTGGATTTGCCCCTTAGGTTTACCTGGACAAAACAAAGAAATTAAGTTTTTCTAGTCTTCTAGGAAATTCTCTAAATGAAGTTAGTTTATTGCTAATTATTATAAACAGATTGTTAAAACTCTGAAAAAAATCAGTTTTGCATTAGGAAAGCCACTAACCGTATAAATACAGATGATTTGACTGCCATGCTGCTTTCCCATGTTTCAGCAGCACAAGCAGGTAAGATGCACAGCAGCAAAACCTGCGCACAAACTATCCCTTTTTAATGTGGTTTCTTTTATAGAATATAAAAAGGAGAAAAAAGAATCCATTAGCAACTAAAAATGCTAGGCAGCTTCCCTTTACAGAAATTATCATTGTACAACTTAATTAGGTTATACCCTACACTACAGCGATTTGCATAATTCGTATGTAATCTGCCAGAAGGAGCAAAACCTGAGCTTTTGACTTCCACTGACAAACAACCCTGGAGTGTCAACACCAATAAATCATGATGCCAAAGAAGGCAGAAAAACACTCGCAGTTTTAACACAATGGTGAACCAAAATATTATACTCCATTGTTGAAAGCTAAGGAGTTACAAAAAACATGCTGTTACTGCCCTTGAAGAATAAAGCTTTTATTTCAGGCTGAAATAAAACAAAACTCAATCACAGACGTGACAGATGAAACGGCTTATTAAACTTGTCCACTTCCACAGAAAGCTTCCATTTTTTTCCCCGAGAGTACACTTTTAAGATGTTTTGCTTCTAGCATGCTTCTCATATGAGACTTTGAAGTCTGTTCCATAGTCCCACTGCATTCACTGAGAAGTTTTTGTTAGTTTTGTTTCCCATCAAGAAATTTCAATCAGTTATGTTTTGTTTTAAAAGTCATCTGAGTCCTCCTACTAAAATCATTCTTACGGCAAATGTTTAGAGTGATGTCATACAGAGAAAGCTAAATTCAAAATTGCCAAGAAAGTAAACATCTTCCCAGACAGAGAAACAATAATTAGAATTTCAATGGTTTTGTGGAACCAGCATTGTATATATATATTTTTTTTTTTAAGGGAATACAATGAAAATATTTCATTTTCATTAACTCACATACTCAGTTTTGGCAAAGTTAGACCCTTCGTTTTAACTTCATTCTCTGTTTTTAGTTACAGTCTAATAATGAAAGTTAAAGTGTTTTGACTTTTGTATTAAATTACAATCTAAAATACAATAAATAAATAAACAATTGCACGGCCTGACTGTATTAAAAATCTTATTTCAAGGCACAGTCAATGCATGGTGGAAACACGAATTCAAAACACTGGAATTTCCTGAAAAATAGAGTCTAAATTTCAAATGAACAATCAATGGATTCTACTCTAGAGCGCTGCTTTCATCTGACTGATGGAAGATTAACACAGTTACTCTGTATTGTCCAAACCTGGGAAAGACTGCCTTAAAGCAGGAGATTGTACAGAGTTATTTCCACATTTACATCTGCTGGATTATTTTGTAAGAACGAAGAATTAGAAAATGATGGAGAAGAAAATGAAGGTCTGGTTAGCTCCTGGGCCTTACCCAACAGACCAACACTTATGACTACGTCTATGAAACAAGACTCATTAAATGATCACACATCAGCAGTAGAAACAAAAAAAATTACATATTAAGGGACTTGCGTAAAAAGGTCCTGACTCATTGCCTTGAAACAACCGGTGTGGGGGGGCACATTCCCTTATATTTCCTCTCTCACAGAGCTCCGACAGAAGTAGGTTCACCAGAGTTTGTGCCACAGGTCTCAAAACCACCAGAATGCTCTTGGAAAGGGGGAGTGGGAAGCGTTTATTTTCAAGTTAATACCTGTTTACTATGCTTAAAAATCCAATTTCAGACAATTCAGGCACAATTCACGCCTTGGCTGTTGTGACAGCAGCTGGTTTTAAAGCCTATACTTCTTTTTAACTTAGTTTAACTAGTCCTGAAGTTCAGGTCTTCCGAGGTAAAAGTTTGCAATGTGCTAGCTGCAACCCCTCTAGAAAGTACAGTTTTAAAATACACATTTATACTGCCTTATTTACAGAGTCACAGAGCTTTGACTCGGGGAGAGAAAGCACCCTCCTTATCTGCTTGAGGAAACCAGTGGTTTGGCCTCTAAGAAGCAGATTTTGACAAAGTGCCAGGTGCAATAAACAAAGAGTTTGCAATTCCCCATTAGCTCCCAAAGCTTATTGAGGCTTTGTCCTGCTCCTTGCGACTCTGCCTTCACAGGCCTGAAGGAAAACTTGGCAGCGATGCTTCTTTTATGCATGCTAAAAATTGACTGACCACAGTGGTGGAACAGAAATTTTCACCCAGCTTTGAAAAACTATTACGAAACTCTGCAAGACACATTGGAAAACATATTGGCAAAATAATGGTTGATTATAATGGGAAAAAAATTAGTACCTTTTCTATCCTACACAAAAAAATCTTGGCCTCCACCACATCAGTAATTTCACCACACTGTATTACTCCCAGCTGCTGTGAAGCAATACATGATGCTGATGGACTGGTTTGCAATGTAATTGCATTATTAAGCTTAAAGCATTTTTTATGGAAACCTAGAGAATGATTGGGTATTTTTTCCTTTACTTAGAATAATACTAAATTATACCACATTTAACGGGCACTGTTAGTCTTACAGCAAAAAAGCATAAATATACTGGCTTGGCACCACAACATTGTTTCAGTACAATAGTGAGCCTTATCTTTCTCTAGCACTACCACAGACTTTTATCAAACTCCTAAATACCCTCTGGAATATTAAATGTACAAAGTTGAGATCAAAAAGGTTTTATAAACGACAAAATTGGATACTGAGTTTGTGGAGCCAGTTTTCCTCCCCCTCCCTGCTGCTCCACATGAGTCAGAGCAAGGGAGAATTCCCACGTCCAGCGAACAGTGCCCATTCTGTTACATCTTCTATTCAGGCCACAGAATAAAAACACAAATGGATCCACTTTTCACAAGAGGTCAACTGCAGTAACTGTATCTTTATTAAAGGAGGTTACACAGGTTGGAAAGGTCCACATTCCCTCCGATACGCATGCTAAGAGCTTCTCTGTGGATAAAACCATACAAGATCTGATTTCAGCACAGCTTGCTAAATCAAAGCTGCAGGCCGAGTGTGCCCCACACGCAGATGGCAAGCCAAAGCCTTGATAAATAATGCAGATGACTCTTAGACAGAACCAGTAAGGAATTAAGTTCTAAATCTATGAAGTAACACTCGTTCTCATTTCACATAAAAAACATAGACACCAAAAGGCTGTGTCCTGTCTAAGACACACAGGAAGACTGTGTCAAAATTGAAAACACAAAAATCATGCTTCCTTTGCCAAAGGATTTCTTTTTATCGTATTCATTATTCATCCATTATTTTTTATCCTATTCACAGTATAAATACTTATTTGCCTTAAAATTACTTTCCTGCTACTACAATTTCATGACCATTACTCTTCTTCCGGATCACCTGTGAATCATGATAAACTGTGAGA